TAAAGCTTGTTTGAATGTATTTGACTTTCATTTGATTCAATTAGGTTTGTTTGAATGTGTTTGAATTTCATTTAATTCAATTAGCTTTGTAGAATGTATTTGACTTTCATTTGATTCAATAAGCTTTATTGAATGCATTATACTTTAATTTGATTCAAAAAGCTTTGTTTGAATATGATTAACTTTTATTTGATTCAATTAGCTTTGACAGTCATTTAATTCAATTAGCTTTGTAGAATGCATTTGACTTTCATTTGATTCAATTAGCTTTGTTTAATGCATTAGACTTTCATTTGATTCAAAAAGCTTTGTTTGAATGTGTTTAACTTTCATTTGATTGAATTAGCTTTGTTTGAATGTGTTTGACTTTCATTTTATTCAATTAGCTTTATTGAATGCATTAGACTTTAACTTGATATAAAAGGATATATTTGAATGTGTTTGGCTTTCGTTGGATTAAATTAGTGTTGTTTGAATGTGTTTAACTTTCATTTGATTCAATTAGCTTTGTTGAATGCATTTGACATTCATTTTATTCAAAAAGCTTTGTTTGAGTGTGTTGACTTTCATTTGATTTAATTAGCTTTGTTTGAATGTGTTTGACTTAAATTTGATTCAAAAAGCTTTGTTTGAATGTGTTTGATTTTCATTTGATTCAATTAGCTTTGTACAATGTATTTGACTTTCATTTGATACAATTATCTTTGTTGAATGCATTAGACTTTGATTTGATTCAAAATGTTTTGTTTGAATGTGTTTGACTTTAATTTGATTCAAAAAGCTTTGTTTGAATTTATTTGACTTTCATTTGATTCAATTAGCTTTGATTGAATGTGTTTGACTTTTATTTTATTCAATTAGATTTGTTTGAATGTCCTTTACTTTCATTTGATTCAATTAGCTTTGTAGAATGAATTTTTCTTTCTTTTGATTCAATTAGCATTGTTGGATGCATTAGGCTTTCATTTGATTTAAAACCTTTGTTTGAATGTGTTTAACTTTCATTTGATTCAATTAGCTTTGTTTGAATGTGTTTGACTTTCAAATTATTCAATTAGCTCTGTTAAATGCATTAGATTTTAACTTGTTTCAAAAAGATTTATTTTTATGTGTTTGGCTTTCATTGGATTTAATTAGTGTTGTTTGAATGTGTTTAACTTTCATTAGATTCAATTAGCTTTATAGAATGCATTTGACTTTCATTTGATTTATATAGCTTCGTTGAATGCATTTGACATTCATTTTATTCAAAAAGCTTTGTTTGAGTGTGTTGACTTTCATTTGATTTAATTAGCTTTGTTTAAAAGTGTTTGACTTAAATTTGATTCAAAAAGCTTTGTATGAATGTGTTTGACTTTCATTTGATTCAATTAGCTTTGTAGAATGCATTTGTCTTTCATTTGATTAAATTAGCATTGTTGAATGCATTAAGATTTCATTTGATTCATAAGCTTTGAATGTGTTTCTCTTTCATTTGATTCAATTAGCTTTGTAGAATGCATTTGTCTTTCATTTGATTAAATTAGCATTGTTGAATGCATTAGGATTTCATTTGATTCATAAGCATTGAATGTGTTTCTCTTTCATTTGATTCAATTAGCTTTGTAGAATGCATTTGACTTTCATTTAATTCAATTAGTTTTGTTGAATGCATTTGACTTTCATTTGATTCAAAAAGCTTTGTTAGAATGTGATTGACTTTCATTTGAATCAATTAGCTTTGTAGAATGCATTTGACTTTCATTTGATTCAATTAGCTTTGTTGAATGCATTAGACCTTCATTTGATTCAAAAAGCTTTGTTTGAATGTGTTTAAATTTCATTTGATTCAATTAGTTTTGTTTGAATTGTTTGACTTTCATTTAATTAAATTAGCTTTGTTGAATGCATTAGACTTTAACTTGCTTCAAAAAGATTTATTTGAATGTGTTTAGATTTCATTGGATTAAATTAGTGTTGTTTGAATGTTTTTAACTTTCATTTGATTCAATTAGCTTTGTAGAATGCATTTGACTTTCATTTGATTCATTTAGCTTTGTTGAATGCATTTGACATTCATTTTTATTCAAAAAGCTTTGTTTGAGTGTGTTGACTTTCATTTGATTTAATTAGCTTTGTTTGAATGTGTTTGACATAAATTGGATTCAAAAAGCTTTGTTTGAATGTGTTTGACTTTCATTAGATATAATTAGCTTTCATTGAATGGGTTTGACTTTCATTTGATTTAATTAGCTTTGTTTGAATGTGTATGACTTAAATTTGATTAATAAAGCTTGTTTGAATGTGTTTGACTCTCATTTGATTCAATTAGCTTTTTTTGAATGTGTTTGACTTTCATATGATTCAATTAGCTTTGTTGAATGCATAAGACTTTCATTGGATTCAATTAGCTTTGTTTGAATGTGTTTGACTTTCCATTGATTCAATTAGATTTGTAGAATGCATTTGACATTCATTTTATTCAATAAGCTTTGTTTGAATGGGATTGACTTTCATTCGAGTGAATTAGCTTTGTTTGAATGTGTTTGACTTAAATTTGATTCATAAAGCTTGTTTGAATGTATTTGACTTTCATTTGATTCAATTAGGTTTGTTTGAATGTGTTTGAATTTCATTTAATTCAATTAGCTTTGTAGAATGTATTTGACTTTCATTTGATTCAATTAGCTTTATTGAATGCATTATACTTTAATTTGATTCAAAAAGCTTTGTTTGAATATGATTGACTTTTATTTGATTCAATTAGCTTTGACATTCATTTAATTCAATTAGCTTTGTAGAATGCATTTGACTTTCATTTGATTCAATTATCTTTGTTGAATGCATTAGACTTTCATTTGATTCAAAAAGCTTTGTTTGAATGTGTTTGACTTTAATTTAATTCAAAAAGCTTTGTTTGAATGTGTTTGACTTTGGTTTGATTCAATTAGCTTTGTTTGAATGTGTTTGACTTTCATTTGATTCAATTAGCTTTGTAGAATGCATTTGACTTTCATTTGATTCAATTAGTTTTGTTGAATGCATTTGACTTTCATTTGATTCAAAAAGCTTTGTTTGAATGTGTTTGACTTTCATTTGATTCAATTAGCTTTGTAGAATGCATTTGTCTTAAATTTGATTAAATTAGCATTATTGAATGCATTAGGATTTCATTTGATTCATAAGCTTTGAATGTGTTTGTGATGCAAATCATGAAGAGTCCATTAGTCCAATCAAGCATGATCATCCTACAAGTCCAATTCACAAAGAAATCATTCTTGCTAAGTCATTTGAAGATCAAGTGGTAGATACTTTTTGTGCGCATGGACCGTTTCTTGCTAACCAAGGGTTTACTTGTTTACATTCTGGTTATGAATGTTAATGGGCATCCTAGGCACGTTTTGAACAGCCTTAGGCATAGGAAAAGGCGTCCTTGAAGCAAGGAGAAACTTCATTGCAAGTCATAAACATTTAGCATGAAGAAAGGCATGAATCAAGGGGAGGTTACTCCACGTTTTTTGCTGGTTCTTTATGGCTGTTTTTAAGCTTCTTTTCAGCAGTTTTTAAGAGGTTAATTAAGGGTGATTAAAGCCTAAAATCAGTTAAGAAAATCTGCTTAGCATAGGCGTGATTCTAGGCTAGGTTTTAGCTTTCATGTTTAGTTACAATAAACACACGTTAAGCTTGTTTAATGCGTGTAGTTTAGTACTAGTTTGTTTTCTTTATTTAAGCTTATGAAATGTAAGTGTATGGCAGATTATGATATATGAATTAAGAAAGTTTTCTCCTTAAAACTATTTATTCTTGTTGTTAAGATAAATCGTTTTTTTCCAAGTTTAACTTGACGAATTTGAGTGGTTAAGTGAGTTTTCCTTCCATGCAAATTAAACAACTAGTGGGTTTTAAGTGAGTAATCCTTGCCTACATATCTTGTTTGTTTAAGTGAGTAATCCTTACAAACGTTCCTTAACCATTTCCAAAACAACCTACAAACCTTTACCCGTAATTTGACTTAAAACACCAACCTTTTTTTTTTCTTCTTTCCACTTAAGTTTGATCCATTAAGCTTGTATTAACTAAGACTTTCTATTAGTTTTTACATCATTTGGCGCGTCAGGTAGGGGGGCATTTCTGTCCAAAATGGATTAAGCAAACCCAAATGAAACCATTGACCAAAGGAGACTTAGAATGATGGAGGAAAACCAACAAAGACTCTTGGAAACCAATGAGCAATTACATGGTAATATAATGGCTCTAATGGCTCGTTTGTTGACACAAGAACAAAGGGATGGGCGTCAAAACCCTCCTAGATATGATGACAAGAGTCTAAAGGTGGATGTAGACCTTTTTGATGGTACTCTTAACCCTGAGAAGTACTTGGAGTGGGAGCAATCACTTGAGAGGTACTTTGAGTTCAAAGACGTTGAGGAAGATGAACAAAAGTACAAGATTGCTAAGGTAAAGATAGCCAAGTATGCTGAAACTTGGTTGAAAGGAGTCCAAAGAAAACGAGAAAGCAATGGGAAAACTCGTATTTCTACATGGACCAAGCTTAGGAAGAAACTTAGGGGACGATTTGTTCCTTCTAACTACAAGCAATCCATGTATGTGAAATGGAGCACTTTGCAGCAAGGAGGGAGTAGTGTGGAGGAATACATTAAAGAATTTGAGAAACTTTCCATTGTGTGCGAAATAGTGGAAAATGAAGAACTCAAATTAGGGAGGTTTATGGCTGGTTTGGATAAGGACATTTATGAGAAAGTAGAAGTGCAACCCAATCTGACCTTTGATGAAGCTTGTAAGCTTTCGGTGAAATTTGACAATCAAAAGAAGAAGAAGAAACCTTCGAACCCTTTTGACCCAAAATTCAAACGCCCATTTAACCCACCAAAAGAAACCCCTTCCTTTCCAAATTCCACTACCAAAAAGAACCCTGCCTCGTTTGATCTTTCACAAAAAGAAAAAGGAAAAACCAAAACCGGAGACTTAAGTGACATTGTTTGTTTCAAATGTCATGGGAGAGGACATTACAAGAGAGATTGTCCTAATGCAAGAGCTTTAACCATACGAGAGCTTAAGAATATGATGGCACAACCTTTTGTCCTTGAAGAAGAGAAGGAGAATGAAAATGGTAGTGAAAATGTACCTTTAGAGTCTTATGATTCTAATGAGGAGGAGGAGCAAGTTGATGACTGTTTTCCCGAAAAAAATAGTCTAGTAATGAGGAGAGCCCTCCAAATGCACGTGGAGGTTGAGAAAACCCCAATTCAAAGAGAAAATGTCTTCTTAACCAAATGCAAGGTTAATGAAGATGTGTGTGACTTGATTGTTGATAGTGGCAGTGAAGCTAATGTTGTGTCAAGTGATCTTGTTAAGAAACTTGACTTGAAGACTACTAGACATCCTACTCCTTACAAGTTGAGTTGGCTTGATAAGAGCAAGAGTACGGGAGTTAGAAAACAATGTCTAGTAAAATTTCAGATTAGTTCGTATGTGGATGAAATTTTATGTGATGTCATTCCCATGGATGCTTGTCACATTTTGTTAGGGAGGCCATGGCAAAGTGACAAAAAATCAGTACATGATGGCCTATCAAACACCTACACCATTACTCACCAAGGCAGCAAGAAAGTGTTGCACCATTTACCACCACAAAAAAGCCTTTCCCAAACACAATCCCCACCACCAAAAAAAGAGCCCAAAAGAAAGGACATTTTGTTGCTTTCCTTAAAAGAATTCGAAAACTCTTTGGAGAAGGAAGATGAAGTGTTCTTATTGTTTTCTAAAGAGGAACACGAAGGTTTATTCCAACAAAACCCTAGGCTAGCCGCATTGATCAAGGAGTATGAAGATGTTTTTTCTAATGAATTACCACAAGGGTTGCCTCCTATTCGTGGTATAGAACATCAAATAGATTTGATTCCGGGAGCCCCCCTTCCGAATAAACCCCCTTATAGATGCAATCCCATGGAAACTAAGGAATTACAAAGACAAATTGAGGAGTTGATGCAAATGGGTTACGTGAGAGAATCCATGAGTCCTTGTGCCGTTCCAGCTTTGTTAGTGCCAAAAAAGGATGGAACATGGAGGATGTGTATTGATAGTAGGGCGGTGAATAACATAACCATTAAGTATAGGTTTCCTATTCCTAGACTTGATGATATGTTAGATGAGTTGAGTGGAGCTCAAGTGTTTTCCAAGATAGATTTAAGGAGTGGATATCACCAAATTAGAATGAGGGAAGGTGATGAATGGAAAACAGCCTTTAAAACTAAGCATGGTTTGTATGAGTGGCTTGTTATGCCATTTGGATTAACAAATGCTCCAAGCACCTTCATGAGACTTATGAACGAAATGTTGAGGCCATTTTTGGGGAAGTTTGTAGTTGTTTACTTAGACGACATTCTCATCTATAGTAAAAATGAGGAGGAGCAATTGAAACACTTGGAAGAGATTTTAAAAACCTTGAGAGAGCAACAATTGTATGGGAAGTTGGAGAAGTGCCATTTTTTGCTAACAGATATTGTTTTCCTTGGTTATATTGTTTCAGGTGAAGGAATTAAAGTTGATCCAAGCAAAGTGGAAGCCATTTCTTCATGGCCAATTCCAAAAACAGTCACGGAGGTTCGTTCATTTCATGGACTTACTTCGTTCAATAGGAGGTTTATTGAACATTTTAGCACCCTTATGGCTCCCATCACCGAATGTACAAAGAAGGGAAGCTTTCAATGGACTCCACAGGCTCAAAAGGTGTTTGAGTTGGTGAAAAAGAAGATGTGTGAAACGCCGGTTCTAGCCCTTCCAGATTTCATGAAACCATTTGAAGTTGAGTGTGATGCAAGTGGAAAAGGAATAGGGGCTGTCCTAATCCAAGAGAAGAAGCCAATTGCGTATTTTAGTGAGAAATTGAGCCAAGGCAAATTGAATTACTCCACTTATGACAAAGAATTATATGCCATGGTTCGAGCTTTGGATCATTGGTCACATTATTTGAGGCCACAGCCTTTCATCTTACATTCGGATCATGAATCTTTAAGGTTCATTCATGGACAAAAGAAGTTGAATGCAAGGCATGTTAAGTGGGTGGAATTCCTACAATCTTTCAACTTTGCAACCAAGTACAAGAAAGGCAAAACCAATATTGTGGCGGATGCATTATCAAGAAGGCATAATCTTCTTGGAATCATGGAAACTAAAATTCTTGGTTTTGAGGTCATGAAGGAATCATACAAAGATGATCTTGAACTCAAGGAAATCATGGAGTCTTGCAAGAATGGAGTCCACGGTTCATTTGTCATAATAGATGGTTTCCTTTTCAAAGGGAACAAACTTTGTGTTCCTAAAGGTGCAATTCGAGAGTTGTTGATCAAGGAAGCTCATGGAGGAGGACTTGCTGGTCATATGGGTATACAAAAGACCCTAGAAATCTTACAAAGTCATTTTTATTGGCCAAAAATGTTAGCTAATGTGCACCAAGTTTTGGCTAGGTGTTCTATTTGTCAAAGAGCCAAAATGACGTTTCATAAGGGAGAGTATAAGCCTTTTCCCATTCCCGAAAGACCTTGGGAAGATTTGAGTATGGATTTCATAATGGCCTTGCCTAGAACAGCTCGTGGAAAAGATTCTATCATGGTGGTCGTTGATCGGTTTTCAAAGATGGCTCATTTCATAGCTTGTAAGAAGGTGGATGATGCGTTCAATGTGGCGCAACTTTTTTTTAAAGAAGTGGCTAGATTACATGGTTTGCCTAGAACCATAGTTCCGGATCGTGACACTAAGTTTGTGAGTCATTTTTGGAAGTCCTTGTGGAGGCTCGTGGGTACTAAGCTACTTTTCTCAACAAGCCATCATCCACAAACGGATGGTCAAACCGAAGTGGTGAACCGAATTCTTGGTTCTTTGCTTCGTGCCTTAGTGAATAAGGGAGGTAAAGATTGGGACTTGAAGTTAGCTCATGCAGAGTTTGCCTACAATAGAACTCCAAGCAAAACTACAAAGTATTCACCTTTTGAAGTTGTGTATGGTGTGAATCCTTATGTGCCGATTGATTACATTTCGCTTCCTAAAGATAAGTTCGTGCATGGGACAGCCAAGGAGCATATAGAATTCATGATTGATGTCCATAAAGAAGTTAGGAAAAACATAGAAAAGGCAAATGAGTCATACAAGAAGCAAGCTAACAAAAACTTGAGAAATATGAAGAAGTTCGAAGTGGGTGATCTTGTGTGGATATTCTTGCGCAAAGAAAGGTTTCCTAAACAAAGGAAACACAAATTGATGCCTAGGGCAGAGGGACCTTTTCAAATCATGGAAAAGATCAATGATAATGCTTACAAATCATCAACTTTCAACGTGGGTGACTTGGCTCCTTATCTAGAAGATGATGAGTTGAGGGCAACTCCTTTCGAAGAAGGGGAGAATGATGCAAATCATGAAGAGTCCATTAGTCCAATCAAGCATGATCATCCTACAAGTCCAATTCACAAAGAAATCATTCTTGCTAAGTCATTTGAAGATCAAGTGTTAGATACTTTTTGTGCGCATGGACTGTTTCTTGCTAACCAAGGGTTTACTTGTTTACATTCTGGTTATGAATGTTAATGGGCATCCTAGGCACGTTTTGAACAGCCTTAGGCATAGGAAAAGGCGTCCTTGAAGCAAGGAGAAACTTCATCGCAAGTCATAAACATTTAGCATGAAGAAAGGCATGAATCAAGGGGAGGTTACTCCACGTTTTTTGCTGGTTCTTTATGGCTGTTTTTAAGCTTCTTTTCAGCAGTTTTTAAGAGGTTAATTAAGGGTTATTAAAGTCTAAAATCAGTTAAGAAAATCTGCTTAGCATAGGCGTGATTCTAGGCTAGGTTTTAGCTTTCATGTTTAGTTACAATAAACACACGTTAAGCTTGTTTAATGCGTGTAGTTTAGTACTAGTTTGTTTTCTTTATTTAAGCTTATGAAATGTAAGTGTATGGCAGATTATGATATATGAATTAAGAAAGTTTTCTCCTTAAAACTATTTATTCTTGTTGTTAAGATAAATCGTTTTTTTCCAAGTTTAACTTGACGAATTTGAGTGGTTAAGTGAGTTTTCCTTCCATGCAAATTAAACAACTAGTGGGTTTTAAGTGAGTAATCCTTGCCTAAATATCTTGTTTGTTTCAGTGAGTAATCCTTACAAACTAATCCTTCTTTCCTCTAAAAAACTTTCCTTAACCATTTCCAAAACAACCTACAAACCTTTACCCGTAATTTGACTTAAACACCAACCTTTTTTTTTCTTCTTTCCACTTAATTTTGATCCATTAAGCTTGTATTAACTAAGACTTTCTATTAGTTTTTACATCAGTTTGACTTTCATTTGATTCAATTAGCTTTGTAGAATGCATTTGACTTTCATTTGATTTAATTAGTTTTGTTGAATGCATTTGACTTTCATTTGATTGAAAAAGCTTTGTTTGAATGTGTTTGACTTTCTTTTGATTCAATTAGCTTTGTAGAATGCATTTGACTTTCATTTCATTCAATTAGCTTTGTTGAATGCATTAGACTTTCATTTGATTCAAAAAGCTTTGTTTGAATGTGTTTAAATTTCATTTGATTCAATTAGTTTACTTTGAATGTGTTTGATTTTCATTTAATTAAATTAGCTTTGTTGAATGCATTAGACTTTAACTTGCTTCAAAAAGATTTATTTGAATGTGTTTGGCTTTCATTGGATTAAATTAGTGTTGTTTGTATGTTTTTAACTTTCATTTGATTCAATTAGCTTTGTAGAATGCATTTGACTTTCATTTGATTCATTTAGATTTGTTGAATGCATTTGACATTCATTTTATTCAAAAAGCTTTGTTTGAGTGTGTTGACTTTCATTTGATTTAATTAGCTTTGTTTGAATGTGTTTGACATAAATTGGATTCAAAAAACTTTGTTTGTATGTGTTTGACTTTCATTTGATATAATTAGCTTTCAATGAATGGGTTTGACTTTCATTTGATTTAATTAGCTTTGTTTGAATGTGTATGACTTAAATTTGATTAATAAAGCTTGTTTGAATGTGTTTGACTCTCATTTGATTCAATTAGATTTTTTTGAATGTGTTTGACTTTCATATGATTCAATTAGCTTTGTTGAATGCATAAGACTTTCATTGGATTCAATTAGCTTTGTTTGAATGTGTTTGACTTTCCATTGATTCAATTAGATTTGTAGAATGCATTTGACATTCATTTTATTCAAAAAGCTTTGTTAGAATGGGATTGACATTCATTTGAGTGTGTTGACTTTCATTTGATTTAATTAGCTTTGTTTAAAAGTGTTTGACTTAAATTTGATTCAAAAAGCTTTGTATGAATGTGTTTGACTTTCATTTGATTCAAAAAGCTTAGTTTGAATGTGTTTGACTTTCATTTGATTCAATTAGCTTTGTAGAATGCATTTGACTTTCATTTGATTCAATTATCTTTGTTGAATGCATTAGACTTTGATTTGATTCAAAATGCTTTGTTTGAATGTGTTTGACTTTAATTTAATTCAAAAAGCTTTGTTTGAATGTGTTTGACTTTGATTTGATTCAATTAGCTTTGTTTGAATGTGTTTGACTTTCATTTTATTCAGTTAGCTTTGTTTGAATGTGCTTTACTTTCATTTGATTCAATTAGCTTTGTAGAATGAATTTGTCTTTCATTTGATTCAATTAGCATTGTTAAATGCATTAGGCTTTCATTTGATTTAAAAACCTTTGTTTAAATGTGTTTAACTTTCATTTGATTCAATTAGCTTTGTTTGAATGTGTTTGACTTTCAAATTATTCAATTAGCTTTGTTAAATGCATTAGACTTTAACTTGTTTCAAAAAGATTTATTTTAATGTGTTTGGCTTTCATTGGATTAAATTAGTGTTGTTTTAATGTGTTTAACTTTCATTTGATCCAATTAGCTTTATAAAATGCATTTGACTCTCATTTGATTTATATAGCTTCGTTGAATGCATTTGACATTCATTTTATTCAAAAAGCTTTGTTTGAGTGTGTTGACTTTCATTTGATTTAATTAGCTTTGTTTGAAAGTGTTTGACTTAAATTTGATTCAAAAAGCTTTGTTTGAATGTGTTTGACTTTCATTTGATTTAATTAGCTTTGTAGAATGCACTTGTCTTACATTTGATTAAATTAGCATTATTGAATGCATTAGGATTTCATTTAATTCATAAGCTTTGAATGTGTTTGACTTTCATTTGATTCAATTAGCTTTGTAGAATGCATTTGACTTTTATTTGATTCAATTAGTTTTGTTGAATGCATTTGACTTTCATTTGATTCAAAAAGCTTTGTTTGAATGTGTTTGACTTTCATTTGATTCAATTAGCTTTGTAGAATGCATTTGACTTTCATTTCATTCAATTATCTTTGTTGAATGCATTAGACTTTCATTTGATTCAAAAAGCTTTGTTTTGAATGTGTTTAAATTTCATTTGATTCAATTAGTTTATTTTGAATGTGTTTGATTTTCATTTAATTAAATTAGCTTTGTTGAATGCATTAGACTTTAACTTGCTTCAAAAAGATTTATTTGAATGTGTTTGGCTTTCATTGGATTAAATTAGTGTTGTTTGTATGTTTTTAACTTTCATTTGATTCAATTAGCTTTGTAGAATGCATTTGACTTTCATTTGATTCATTTAGCTTTGTTGAATGCATTTGACATTCATTTTATTCAAAAAGCTTTGTTTGAGTGTGTTGACTTTCATTTGATTTAATTAGCTTGTTTAAATGTGTTTGACATAAATTGGATTCAAAAAGCTTTGTTTGTATGTGTTTGACTTTCATTTGATATAATTAGCTTTCATTGAATGGGTTTGACTTTCATTTGATTTAATTAGCTTTGTTTGAATGTGTATGACTTAAATTTGATTAATAAAGCTTGTTTGAATGTGTTTGACTCTCATTTGATTCAATTAGATTTTTTTGAATGTGTTTGACTTTCATATGATTCAATTAGCTTTGTTGAATGCATAAGACTTTCATTGGATTCAATTAGCTTTGTTTGAATGTGTTTGACTTTCCATTGATTCAATTAGATTTGTAGAATGCATTTGACATTCATTTTATTCAAAAAGCTTTGTTAGAATGGGATTGACATTCATTTGAGTGTGTTGACTTTCATTTAATTTAATTAGCTTTGTTTAAAAGTGTTTGACTTAAATTTGGTTCAAAAAGCTTTGTATGAATGTGTTTGACTTTCATTTGATTCAAAAACCTTAGTTTGAATGTGTTTGACTTTCATTTGATTCAATTAGCTTTGTAGAATGCATTTGACTTTCATTTGATTCAATTATCTTTGTTGAATGCATTAGACTTTGATTTGATTCAAAATGCTTTGTTTGAATGTGTTTGACTTTAATTTAATTCAAAAACCTTTGTTTGAATGTGTTTGACTTTGATTTGATTCAATTAGCTTTGTTTGATTGTGTTTGACTTTCATTTTATTCAGTTAGCTTTGTTTGAATGTGCTTTACTTTCATTTGATTCAATTAGCTTTGTAGAATGAATTTGTCTTTCATTTGATTCAATTAGCATTGTTAAATGCATTAGGCTTTCATTTGATTTAAAAACCTTTGTTTGAATGTGTTTAACTTTCATTTGATTCAATTAGCTTTGTTTGAATGTGTTTGACTTTCAAATTATTCAATTAGCTTTGTTAAATGCATTAGACTTTAACTTGTTTCAAAAAGATTTATTTTAATGTGTTTGGCTTTCATTGGATTAAATTAGTGTTGTTTTAATGTGTTTAACTTTCATTTGATCCAATTAGCTTTATAAAATGCATTTAACTCTCATTTGATTTATATAGCTTCGTTGAATGCATTTGACATTCATTTTATTCAAAAAGCTTTGTTTGAGTGTGTTGACTTTCATTTGATTTAATTAGCTTTGTTTGAAAGTGTTTGACTTAAATTTGATTCAAAAAGCTTTGTTTGAATGTGTTTGACTTTCATTTGATTCAATTAGCTTTGTAGAATGCACTTGTCTTACATTTGATTAAATTAGCATTATTGAATGCATTAGGATTTCATTTGATTCATAAGCTTTGAATGTGTTTGACTTTCATTTGATTCAATTAGCTTTGTAGAATGCATTTGACTTTCATTTGATTCAATTAGTTTTGTTGAATGCATTTGACTTTCATTTGATTCAAAAAGCTTTGTTTGAATGTCTTTGACTTTCATTTGATTCAATTAGCTTTGTAGAATGCATTTGACTTTCATTTCATTCAATTATCTTTGTTGAATGCATTAGACTTTCATTTGATTCAAAAAGCTTTGTTGGAATGTGTTTAAATTTCATTTGATTCAATTAGTTTATTTTGAATGTGTTTGATTTTCATTTAATTAAATTTGCTTTGTTGAATGCATTAGACTTTAACTTGCTTCAAAAAGATTTATTTGAATGTGTTTGGCTTTCATTGGATTAAATTAGTGTTGTTTGTATGTTTTTAACTTTCATTTGATTCAATTAGCTTTGTAGAATGCATTTGACTTTCATTTGATTCATTTAGCTTTGTTGAATGCATTTGACATTCATTTTATTCAAAAAGCTTTGTTTG